ATTTTACGATTCTTGAAGTTTTGCAAGAATATTTATTAACTGATAGAGTTGTAGCGCTAACGCTTGATAATGCAGCTGCTAACACCGCGGCAATATCTTTATTTGAAAAGAAATTGGATCCGCTTGGTGAAGGCAAATTTTATCACCAGAGATGTGCTTGTCACATCATCAATTTGATAGTTAAAGCAGGTTTAGATGCTATACATTCAAAGATGGAGAGGGTGCGTAGAGCTATCGGATTTATCGTCGGCAGTAGCAATAAAAGATGGCAGGAGTACGTCAAATATTGTAAGCAAGAGGACCCACCGGTTCGACCTTTGAAGTTATGTACAGACATGCCTATCCGTTGGAACTCTACCTACTTGATGTTGGAAAAAGCTTTGCCAACCGCGAAACAAATTACAGATTTCGTCAACCGGAAGAACTATCCAGAGGAAGTTGTCAACTATGATGATTGGGCGGTTTGTGAACTTTTTTATTCATTTCTTAAAATTTTTTATGATGCTACTAATACATTAAGTGGTATTTATTATCCAACTACTAATTTAGTGTTAGATATTTTAGTTCAAATTGCTAAAACTTTTGATCAATATAGATATGATAACATTTTTAGTGAAATTGTTTCAAGTATGGAAGAAAAATATAAGAGATATTGGTTAGATATTCCATTCTTATATGGATTAGGCCTTTTTCTAGATCCTAGGTTTAAATTATCCGTAGTTAACGGTGTAATTACTGAGTTAGGCCATTATTTAGGACATGATTATACGTCTTATTTGACTGACTTTAAACACAAATTGGATAGGCTTTTTTCTTTATATGAGAACAGATACAATGCAAGTAGAAGTGGAAGTGGAAGTGGAACGTCTAGGAGAGGCGATCAGGACCTTGATGTAGCCCCCCCTCAAGGATCGAGCAAGTGGGCGTATGTGGGACGTGGCGGAAGCTCCAGCTCTAGCTCCAGCTCGTACATACATAGACCAAATGAGATGACTCGCTACCTACAGGTGGACTTGACCTTTATGACGATGAAGGAGCAACTTGACATGGATATTCTTCAATGGTGGAACCAACAAGAAAGTCAATTCCCCATTATATCCCAAATGGCACGTGACATTTTATCTGTGCCGGTTTCTACAATTGCATCCGAGTCAACATTTTCAACGAGTGGTCGGATTGTTGAAGACAGAAGATGTTCTTTAACCGATGAGATGATTGAAGTGATAACGTGTTTACGGGATTGGACTCATGGAGAAAGAAGACTACAACAGCACCCTGAAGATCCCGAACTACTCGAACTCTTTAGGAATACAGATTTGAATAATGTAACTAGTGTTGACGATGAAATTGAAGATGAATAATTTAATAAAAAAAATATTTAATTGTTTATTTGTGAAGCGTGAATGTGTGAAATGTGAATATTATATTTATGTTAAAAATTAAAATTAACTATTAATTTATTATTTTTTTAAATTAATTAAATTTTTAGAAACTTACTAATCAACCCCTAAAAAATACTAAAAACCCCCTATAAAATTTCGTTTTGCCCCCAAAATATAAAAAATATTGAGGGGGGAAAATAAAATTTTCCAAACCCCATGGGACCGGTCCTAGGCACATGGGACCAGTCCGGACCAGGCCTAAGGCCTGGTCCGGGTCCTGATTTTTCTCATGGGCCTGGGACCGGTCCCAGGCCCATGAGAGACTGGTCCCATTTGGGACCAGTCCCAAACGGGCCCAGGCCTGGGCCCGCAAGGGACCGGTCCCTTGCCCAGGTATAGCTACAGCTGCTACTCCTACTTTACCTTCAATCTCGATCAAGTTGTTAGAGAGGAATTATACATTTTAGAGGTCGTAAATTCTGCCCGCTTTAACCTCTCATGGATTGGACGGCTTTGTTACAAGAGAGAAAGCTTATCTTTCAATGTTTTTGATAGAGAAGTCAGATGAATCAGGGGAGACGGTAAAGAAACCAAACCCTAACTACTTTACTTGGAAGAAATTTGATCAATTTCTTGTTGGTTGGTTATTTTCCACTATCTCTGAGTCAATGTTTAGACACATAGCTAAATGCAATATTGCTTATGAAATTTGGAACATTTTGGAATTGCACTTTCAATCAGTTTCTAAAGCTAGGACACTACATTTAAGAAACTTACTACAAACCACTAAGAAAGATTCATGTAACATTAGTGAATATGTACTAAAGATGAAAGAATTGGGAGATGAATTGGTTGCTAGTGGAGTGAATATAAATGATGAGGAGTTGTTGTTGTACATTCTTGACGGGTTAGGACCAGAATATGATGTTGTGGTAGCTAACCTTACTTCCAATAATAGTAGCATTACGTTACAAGAGGCTCAGTTCCTACTTCATAAGCACGAAATGCGACTTAAGAGACAACATAATGCCTACAATAGTCTTCATGATCAGCTCGGTTCAACTTTTGTAGTTTCTAAACAAGGATTCAGTCAAGGAAGCAATGATGTCTCCTTAATATCTCAGAACAAAAACACCTCTGTATCAGATATGAATGGAGGTGTGAATTTGTCAAATCAGACCTTCATGCCGTCTAATGTACTGTCTCCTAACATGTCGATGCACTCATTTGCACCAATGGTTTCTAATGTGCCTAATATGCCTCAGCTTGTTGGAAATCCCATTAGCAAGGAAATCCCAAACCTGAATTTCCTTTACCTTACCAATCTTAGTTTGTACCATCAAATAACTCATTCAATAACTTTGACTTTGGCATGTTTCCATATAATCCATATATGATGAGAAGTAGGGGTCGAGGCAAAGGCTATTTTAGGTCTAATGATTTGTAGAGAAGCCGGCCTACCTTCTCTTATCCATGCGACTCATGCAATTTCTTTTCCGTCGATACGCCCTGCAATTTGCACTTGAATTTTTGTTGTATCCACCTATTCTGTTAATTCAATAGCTTTTTTCATTGCTTTGCGAAAAGAAACTCTATTATTTAATTGTGCCGCTATAAATTCTGCAAGAATATTAGTAAATAATGAGAAACAAAGATCAAAGAGGAATTAATCAAAAGGGAAAAAAGGAATAAAGTAGAAAAAAAACCTGGTATGCGAAACCTAGAAGTCAAGTTTGGGGAGAAAAGCTCGGAACTTAAAAGCAATCGCAAAAATAAAAGGAAATTAAATTCAAATTTGAGTTTTTTCTTTATCATGCACACAATTTACATACAAATTAAATATAAATCAAATACAATCCAATCATACATCACAACAAATCTCCATCTTATTTTATTGCAATTAAGTTCAGTTTACATGACTTAAGAATTGAAGAAGAGTAATACTACGCTCATAACTCAATCTCACTACCTTCTATAATTCAATCTCACAACCTTCTCTTACAACCCCAACGTAACAACTAAGTTGGCAACTGTCACATCAGCTCCCACTACACCCAAGGCACTAAATGATTTTGATTAGACCGTACAAACGATTGTTCCTTCATAATGAATGACAACCATTTCTCATGAATGAACGGTCATTCGTCCCTAAGGAGCGGTCGTTCATATTTAGTCGAAGTCTACTACCACGTTAGGGTTTATGTTTAATCAAAGTCTATTGTCACGTTAGGGGTTGTTTCTTCATAAGGAATAGCAACCATTTCTTATGAAACCATTCCTTATGAATGAACAGTCGTTTGTCCCTAAGGAGCAGTCGTTCATGTTTAGTCAAAGTCTTCTGCCACGTTAGGGTTCATGTTTAGTCAAAATCCACTGTCATGTTAGGGTTATAAGCGAAAGAGAATGTTATAAGATTTGGGCCACGTTAGGATTGTAAGAGAATAATGTAAGATTGGATTGTAAATGTAGTATTTTTTTATTGAAGTGAGTTCAAGGAGGAACGTTCCAAAGTCAGTTTGACGAAACAGTTGTCAATTTATAAAATAAAATAATAACTAACTGTGAGCCATTGGATTTTGAATCGTGTTAACTTCATCATTCTCATCATCATCAAGGACGTAGCCAGGATTCTAAGTCAGTAGGTTCAAAACATCAAAATTGATACATTTACAATAAAACATATACTAAAGTAATGAGCATAAAAAATGTACTTTTAAAAGTTATCCATACCAAATTATCAATTTTACAATTGTCCTCGACGTTTTTTCATATTCTGAAAACGTTGTATAATCCTCAAATCTCTACAACTTAGGGTTTCATTAATTCTTTAAACCATTCAAAATTAACTCAATAACTAGCCAAAATTTATCAAACTCAAATTAAAATTACAACTAATTAACTCATACCTCAACATAAACAAGATTAAATCAAAACCCACATTAAAATCTAGTAATTTAATCTTCTGATTTCAAACTCATTTATTAAACTCAGCAAAAACTCATAGCTCATGATCTTTCATCAATTAAGAAAGCTAAAAGAAAAGAAGTTTAAGTAAAAAAATAATAAAAATAAAATGAGCATCATCTTATCTTGTAATCCAAAAGAGTGGCATTTCTTGAGTATTTAACCAAAGGAAAAATATAATATGAGAGGAAATGAAGAAGAGAGAAAGGTTAAAAAATAGTTAATTAATAATTCATTAGGTCAATATAAAATTAAGTTTGGTTAAAATTGTAAAATTTATAAAATATTAATAATTTTATGAAATTTTTAAAAAGTTGAGTGGGTTCAATTGAACCCACAACTCTCTGTGTGGCTACGCGCTTGATCATCATCATTGGTTTCACTTCTCAGTATAAACGGATGCTGCAACAACTGTTCCGCCGTCAACCTCCTAGTCGCTTCCTTCTGCAAGCAACAACCAATGAAATCCCTAAACTCTCCGGACGCCGAAAGCGATGCCTCCGGTGGCGGTGACTTTAAAATTGCCAACATAAAACTTGCCCAATCCCTTTCCTTCAAAGAATGTGGAAGCTTTCCCATATAAATCGCCAACATAGTTATACCAAAACCCCATAGATCTCCACTACACTCATCAATCAAATCATCGTTAAGTCTCTACTTCCCAGAAAGGTAATCGGGACTCATATAAGGTACACTTCCTTCGATATTACTCGCAACAAAGCCTGTAATCTTCACCTTGTGTCTTGAATCCATAAACAAACTCAAAGGCTTAATACCCTTATGAGCAATGCGACGTTTATGTAAATAAGAAAGCCCTCTTAAGATTTGTTTCGCTATTTTGGAAAGTATCTGTTTGTCGGTGATACAAGATTGGTCAAGCGGCTTACCATCGAAGAACTCTAAGAGGAGTTCAATACGATCGTAACCAAGATCGAAGCTGTCGACGAATTTCATCACATTGGGGTGGTCCACGTGGCGGAAGATCTCGATCTGTTGGCGGATTTCAGGGCCGTTGCCGGATATGCATTCGCTTATAAAGCTTTCGAGAACGTAAACTTGGTTGGTTGGCCAGTGGAAGGCTTTGTGATAAACAAAGCCGTACTCGAGGCCGAGTCGCCCGAATGATTGGAGGTCTGAATAGTTCATGGAGATTTTGATTTGGAAAATTACAAAATCAATGAAATTAAAGGAATTGATATGAAGATTTTATCACCTTTATCGTTTGAACTAAGTTTTGTAAACTTACTTAACGTTTGCCTAAATGTCGCGCAGTCAACCTTACTGTTTGACCTTGTCAAATAGTTTAAATTAATTAATTTAAATGTAAAAACAGATATTAATAGATTAATAGAACATAAAGGGAGTTGAACAAAATTAACAAAAACCTTAAGTATATTAATCAAGCTAACCTTTAACTCAATTTTGTTTTTCTTATTTTCTCTTATATTTTGAAATTTGATTTTGAGCTATTTCAAATTCTTCATAAATTGAAGAGTTAATTTCAGCATTAATTGGTTGTTTTCATAAGATTAAAACCGAAAAATTGATAGAGAAGTTTGATTAAAATTTATGATTATATCAGCTTATTATATATTGTTATCGTGTTAAAATGATATATAAAAATTAAAAAAGTTATTATGTATTTCATTCAAAGAAGAAGAATTAGTTATTAACCACCACTGGGTGGCTTGATGGTAAGAGAGCAAAAGAGGATCCAATAGGAGAGACCATTGAAACTCATGTCCGGCTGATAGTTCTAATCTTTTAGAGTCCCGAAAGAATAATCGAGGTGTACACAAACTAATCTTGACACCTCGGATCATAAAAAAAAAAAAAAAAAAAAAAACAACTATTCTCATAAAATGCTCAGCATACACAAACGCAAGTTAGTACCAAATGCTTGAGATTTCGGAAAGTTGTAATGGAAAAGACAGTAGTAAGAAGGGGCAAAAAGGGGTATTTATGTCAAATGACGCATCTACGGTTAATATAGTTAGACATGGTTAATTTTAACTAAAAGGCCATCTAGTTTTTTAGTCTTTACTAAATGGCCTTCCAAAACCTGAAATTCTTGCAAACAAACCCAAACATAACATCTTCTTCTTCTTCCTCCCGCCATTAACGCATCCCTCCGCTGGTTGATGTTTATTCTAAGCTTTGTCTATTATCTTCTTCTTCCTCTGCATCCTCTCCTTCCTCCTTCCTGTACATCTTCTTCTTCCTGCCATTAACACTATCTTCTTCCTCCGCCATTAACATCTTCTCCGCCACAGATCCTCCTCCTCCTGGCATTTTGTCCAGGTATGTGTATTTCCCCTTTCCATTTTATATTTCGATTTACAAATATTTAATGATGGATTGGGTTTGGGTTATGATTTTGATTTAGTTGTTTAGATTGTTGGGTTGTGTTTGATGTAATGCAAGTTGAAAGGAGTGAAATTTGTTGAATATTTTCTTGCATTATGGGTAGCTGGGGTTGGTAGCACTGATTGTAAGTGGAGATGACTAAAAATGTGTTCAGGATATGATGGATCACTTAAGCGACCTGGTATGTCTGGTATAATGCAACAGATCGTAGATCGCTTAAGCGATCAGGTATATGGCAGAAGATCGCTTTGCTTAAGCAATCTGTTATAAGTCAGGTATATGGCAGCAGATCACTTAAGCAATCTGTTATAAGTCTAGTATATGGCAGTAGATCCCTTAAGCAATCTGTTATAAGTCTGGTATATGGCAGTAGATCGCTTAAGCAATATGTTATAAGTCTGGTATATGACAACAGATCGCTTAAGCGATCAGGTAAATGGCAGAAGATCGCTTAAGCGGTTTGCTATAAGTCTGGTGTATAGCAGTAGATCGCTTAAGCGATCAGGTAAATGACAGAATATCACTTAAGCGATCAAACTTATTTATACCAAATCACTTAAGCGATCTAATAAGCAATATACCAGATCGCTTAAGCGATACACCAGATCGATCAAGCAACTCTGCAGATGCTTCTTAAAATCTTTCAACCTTTAATACATTAGTTAATAATATTTTTTTTCTTGCATTATAGGTACTTGGCTATTATTAGACATGTGACAAGTTGTTTTGGGTGTTGAATATTTTGGTGAGTGGGTGGAGGAAGAAAGTTGCTGAAAGTGGATTGGGAAGAGCAAAGAAGTTATACCAATTACTGTGAGTACAAAGGTTAGGTTTGATGAGTTGATTAATGAAATAATTAGAAGAGGTGATTTGATTTTCTCACGTAGTGATATAGTTGTGAAGTATGTTTTAAGCAGAGTTCCTAAACATTATAAGGTACCTCCTGCTATATTAAAGTCGGATGAAGGTGTGAAGTTATATATGACTGATGTGGGCGATAATGGTTCGAGGCCGATTTTAAGGGTTTCTTTTGTAGATAAATCATTGGAAGTTGGTTCAAAGGCAGGGGATAGCGAGGAAGTTGGTGGAGAGAATGCTGGTTTTAATCTGAACTATGAGGGCATTAATTTCTTAGTTGAAAAAACAAGAGTAGGCGGTGATTTAGGTGGTAATGAGGAGACTGTAGAAGAGGTTGGTCATGTGCGGCAGAATGAAAATATTGAGGAGGAGGACCCCGTACATGTTCCCGCAAATGTAAAGATTCCTTTTAAATACATATTATGCATAATGTGTAGTTTGTGAGGAAAAGAACACTATGGTCTTTTATGCAAGTTCAAAGGTGGTAATTGCAGGTAGTAGTAAATCAGCTTATGTTTTTATTGATTGATCGGACTTGCACATAGGGTATTTATTTGACAACAAAGAGGAAGTGGTGAGGAAGCTAAAACTTGTTGCCATGAGAGGTAATTTTGAGCTCGTCACAAAAAGTCTAATTCATCGATAGTGACAGTTGCATGTCGTGACCAAAAGTGCAAGTGGCGGGTTTATTGTAGAAGTTGGCAGAGTCCAAAAAATTTATTGCTAGCACATATACCAGTGAGCACACACATGGTTTGGGACATATTTCAGGTGAGCATCGACAAGCCTCCGCTGATGTTCTTGGACAATTTGTCAAAAGTTAGTTCGTTGAAGGGAAAGGTCTATCTCTTAAGGACATTCAAAGACTTATGCGCATAGAGTTGGGATGCGCTGTTAGTTACTGGAAATGCTGGAAAGGGAGATAAAATGCATAAGATTTTGTGAGAGGCACGTTGGAGCACAAGTACGCAATATTAGAAGCGTGTCGTTATATGCTTGAGTTGACAAACCAAGGTAGCAAGACGGCTTTGAAATGGGACAAGAATATGAGGTTTGAATATTTTTTTTGTTGCCTACGGTGCTGCTATAAGGGGTTTTGTAAACATGAGAAAGGTGTTGGTTGTTGATGGTTGTTTTTTTACGGGAAAGTATGGAAGTACATTGTTGGTGGCCACTGCACAGGACAGCGAGAATCACACATATCCCGTTGCATGGTATGTGGTTGAGTCTGAGAATGACAAGTCGTGGACTTGGTTTTTTTAGCAATTACGTACAATAGTGCCTGACAGTGATGAGTTATGTATAATATCCGACAGGCACAACTCTATAAAGAAGGGGATTGCCACTATTTACCCTCAAGCACATCACGGATTCTTATGAGGCACCTTGGTGAGAACATAAAACAAAAGTTTAAGTGTGCTGGCCTCCTTCAAACATACTATTGAAAGATGGAATACATGGAGAATGATGCATGAGATACTATAACATGTATATTCATATTTTGCAAAAAAAATTCAATCAAATTGAAAACAAGTAAGGTATAACTTGTTACCTCAAGTCGTTAGCAACCTTGAAGACTTTTAATTTCAAGAGAAATTACACAAAAGAGTATCCACACTAAGGTAAAAGAAGAATTAGGCCAAGAGAGACATTTAGGGTTCTTAGAAATTTTGATCTCTACCCTAAAATTGATATATCATTTTCTTTATATATGTAGCCTTGTAAACAATTCAATAATTATTTTGGACTTTCTTAAACAATTCCATAATTGTTTTTTGGAGTTGTAAATAATTCCATAATTATTATGAAGTTGTTAAACTTCTTTAAATAATAACATGGGATTAACATTTAATCACAATTTACAATTTAATTCTTAAATTGTTTACATAACAATTTAACCCTTAAATTTTTCATATGTTTACAATTAAAACCCATTATTAAATCCAATTTAATATAAATAAAATGATTAATTATGAATTGGAATTCCATTTAATTCAAATTAGCAATTTAACTCTTAAATTATTCATAATAACTAATATAAGCCTCCATTGAATCTAATTCAATGATAATAATATAAATAATTTTATTACCCTTGGTATGTGCTAGCCAACCTTGGATAATCAACTCTCTTTGGCTATTTCTTCATTCTCCTTAGTTTTTATGTTTGACCTCTTAGGTTCACTGTAGCCTAGCCATGGGCCCAATATCATAGTCTATTTCGATATGTTTTGTCATAAATCTTTATGAACAAAACTCTCACCAATTATGGTAGGCATCTAGCAATACTCCATAACCCCTAAGTCACAATGAAGATATATTCCAACGAACCCTTTTATAATCATACGCGTTGTATAATCAAATCCTTCCTTTGTCTAATCCTAATTAAGAATGGATTCATGGTATGTCAAAATCCTTATCTTATATTTATATCAAATTGACAATCAATACATATGGAACGTGTCACCATGAAACAACCTTTCAAATAACATTTTATATACCCCGGCCGAAGATTTTCCTTTTCCAATGTATCTTAACATTTGTTTAGGAACTTGATATCAATCTATACCAAGTCAACGAATCCCATCTTGACTATCACTTGTCTTCACACATAAACAACACATTGTCAAATCAGCTTATTAACACATGACATAATTAGCCTCGTGTTTATACACCATATAAACCATATGCGTTTATGCAAAATCCAACTGTGATATCTCAGGTCTAAGGATTAATAATACACTAGTACGATCTTATGATAAATCATTGACTATATTTTAATGTCCATGTGATTCATCATAAATAGTCATATTAGATAAACAGTTCACTAACCACTTATCTATACTAATGCCCTAGTGATATAACTTTTATAATCACCCACACTAATACCATCACATGATATTTTACAGAGGCATTCAGTATGC